TGAGATAGGGTTTCACTAAGTCTTTAAATTGATCAGGATAGGCACAACCTGAAAATTTCCTTTATTTAAAAATTGTTATATTCTTTTTTTTTTGGTACTGGGAATCAAACTCTGGACCTTGTGCTTGCGAGGCAGGCAGCAGAGCCACTGAGCTAAATCCCCAGCCCAGAAAACTGTTATATTCTTGAAGTTCAATGACCTTTTTAAAGAAGGTTATTCTGAATTATTTGTAGATCATTTCATAGATTTCCCATTATGAATAGCCCATTGCTGGGGCTTGCCAGAGGAGATATAAGATTAATTGGATCAGGATGGATCCTGATTCAATCCTTGTTGGCTATCAGATTTGAATCCTTCACTGTCATCCTATCGGCACTAAAAGTACGAGGAGGGAGCTTTCAGGTCTTCTGTCTATTCCTCCTGTAGGCCCTGTGGCATCCTGAATACTCCTCTCCAATGAGGATTTATGTAAATTTGACTAAGTAGAAAATCACAACTCTGGTTTAAAAAAGAAAAACCAAACATTGTGCACAAACTCTTACCTTTCCTCCATTCTTCTTACTGGATATGGCAAGGTGGCCTGTGTTGACTCCTGTGGAACTTTTCATCTCTAAAGCCCATGACTCTGCCCTTGAGAAATGCCTTCATGGGTGGAGAGATGTTTAATACTTAAATGAGATTTATCAAGATACTGGACAGCCCTTTGGTTTCCTGTGCAGAGACTTGCTAGAAAATAAGTGTGTGGAATTTGTTGCATCATGATCCTCATGAGATGTCTTTCAACATTTGGTCTAAATTTGCTTCTATATCTCAACTTCTGTCCATTACTACCATGTCCTGTCTTCCATCCTGTAAGCAGCTATTGTGGAGCTTCTTGCTTGCCAGTAACACCAAGAGGCATGAACTGTGCTGGGAAACCTTCTAACTAATAACTAAGCCTAAGCTCTTGGTTGTCACTCAAGGCTCTCTTTGTCTGGGCCCTCCTCTTTTATGTCAAAGCAGCAATGTGTGCCAATTTAAAGTTTCTTTCCAAATGGCACAGAGATGCATCAGAATAAGTGAATGTCTTCCAAAATGCTATTCTTTAAAGAAACAACTCGTTAGAGACTTTGTTCTTAAATCTTTTATTAGTTAAGACTATAGCTGTGAACAGTAATTATTTCTCTTTTCAAATTTATCTGTGTTAAGAAATGGATAGTTTCCACCCAGGAGCTGAATGAATGCAGCACAACTCTGGCCACACAGACTCCAGGATACACAGGGGGTGAGTGAGAACTGGATTAAACCAGATGAGTTGTGTGTGTCAAATGGCAGCAGGGAGTGAGACAAGTGGGTGGGGAACTCGTGCAAGGTGGTGATTGTAACAGATGACAGAAGCTAAATGTGGCAAGGAAGCAAGTGGTGTCAAGTGAGCCATGTTGGGTCAAGAGACTTGATGGAATGTGGATGGATTAGGAAGGACCTCGGAGCTGAGGCTCAGGAGAAGGAGTTTTATGGGTGGGGGATGAGTGTCGGGCAGTGTGATCTCATATTTGAGACTCTGAGTTCATACCAGTGTGGGTGATGACAAGATGAAGACTCAGTGGTCAGAATGAATGGTCAGAATGGACTGGATGACAGGTTAAAGGAAGATGGTGGAGATGATGGAGGAGCTTGGGTGGTGAATTAACCATCTAAGTGAATATTATAGTTATTTCAAATGTGCGCATGGTTGATTGTGGGGAAGTCTGTGAATTAGGCATTCAGGCCACAAATAATATAGCAAACATTTATGCTCCATCAGTAACATTAAGCATACATTGAAAAACTTTTTTGCCACTAATTTCTCTTTAGAAGTAAAGAAATAAGATGACAAAAATACAAGGAATGGCCCAGTCTGCATCATATCTCTCTTTGTGGCTCCTCAGAGATTCTGAAATTTGTACCTATTATTTTTTCAAACGTGTAACGTGACGTGAGAAATGCAAGGTTATCTAAAAATCAAGGTACTATAGCAAACACATTTTAAACAAGTTTGAATAAGATTTAATGAATTTAATTCCTAAATTTCTAATTACTAGTTACACTAATGTCAGTATATCCTCCCTACCCAAGTACAAAAGGCTTAATGTGTATTTTTTGGTGTGCAATGTAACGATGATTTACATTAGCAATGCATCATCTCTTTCTCCTCTCCTGTAGTTCGACCACAGTGCTCTTTATGAAGGAGAATTCTTTAACCAAACTATATAAATGAGGAAATTGTAAGACTACAATGACTTACTATTTAATAATCCTCAGGCTGAGCTGACCACATCAAAACAAAGCAGTCTGCCTGTGAATACATTGTAACTACTATAATTCTTTTGCTCAGGTCTATAGGAATGCCTCACTTATAGCCAAACTGTATTATGCTGTGTGGAAAACAATAGAGTATGTGGAGGATACACAGTGCTGGACTGGGGAGACCATTTGATCTGGAGCCAGGGACCCTGAGTTCTGTGCGCTGTGGTGGGTTATAACAGCAAGGAATACATTTGGTTGGCAACATTGAAAACTATGCATAGTGTCACTGTCAAAGCTACATTTTACTTTCTTCTGGATTCTCAGAGTTCATTTTCAGCTCCCTTCTCCGAGGTGTGTTTGAGTGGCAGCCTCAAAGCTGTGATATGCAGAGCTTTGCTGTGTGCATTTATCATGTTCGCGGTGGTTCTTTTCTTTCGTGCTGGAGTTCTTGGTAGAATGAGTAGCCACTGGTGCCAAACAACTCTAAACCCTGTCCTGGACCTAGGTTCTGTCAATTTAACTTATATAATTATGGGAAGATCAGTTGTCTTTAATTCTACCCTCCATGAGGCCTGAGAACTGGATTGAAGGAAAGTTGGCCAAAACAACTGCTGCTACATTTTGAGACTTACTTCATTTTTTGAAAATTAATCGGTCTTTAAACTGTTAATAAATGTTTTCCAAGATATTATTCCCATTGACATAAACATTAAAGTAAAATGTCAACATACTCTTAAGTGAAATAAAAAGGACACACATGTGTAAATACCAAATTGTTTCTCGGGTATGAGAAACTGAAGGTGTAAATGAGGACTAAAAGGTATAATAGATATTGGGAAATAGGAGAAAATGTTCAAAAGGTAATGGGAACTAAGGGGGCGGGGGAAAGGAAAGAAGGGAAAGAGAAAAATGAGAAAAGAAGGAAAAAATGGAAACAAAGCCTATGTAAATAGGGAGGGGTGGAAGGGAGGAAAGGGGAATGGGAAAAAATAAGAACCAAGACATGTACAGGTACAAATAACCAGTGATAAATGTGATCATAATGTATACCCAAAATATACCAATAAACTTAGTAAAAAAGTAAAATGTCAAACTATAACTTGTTCTGTCACTTCTAGACTGATATCCCTCTGGGTAACACCTAATTGAACACCTGTTTTCAAAGATAAAAGACTTGTCTTTTATAACCTTTTATAACGAAAGGTAGCTTTTCACCCTATCAGGGACTCATGACTCCTGATTTCTCACCAACCTACTGAACTGTTCAAATGCAGGCAAAGGTTTTCACTAAGTACATTGTTTTCCAGAAGACCTGATGATCTAGTGAGCCTTATAAACTCATTCACTCTGAACCAGGGATTTACTTTCATCAATGCCCCAATCACAGGATGGAATAGGGTTCTCATAAAAATAGAGACTAGCAGAAGTAAGGAATTATTTCTTTTAAACTATCGTATCTATGGCAATTATCGGTAGAGATTTCTATCTTGAGGGAGTGATTATTTCTATTGCAATGAAACTGAAAAAGAAAAATTATGAGAAAAAATTTAGAGAAGATAACATACTTTTTAAAAGAGAGGTACACAGTATTCTGGTTTTAAAGTAAAGTAGAGCACGCTAAAGTAGAGCTTTCTCTGAAGAAACCTGACATTCCACAATAAAATAAATCAGTTGAAGACACTGAGGAATCACTGAGGTATTTTGGAAGTGTGAGGCTGGGAGAAGAGCAGAGAACCATCAAGTGTGGCCGGGCAGTGTTCATTCCCAAAGCCACATCCAGTGACCGGGAAGAGGCTCCTCATCATTGCTCCCTGCTGCTTCCCAGGTGTCCAGGGTTCCCTGAGGAAGGCTCCATTCTCCTCAGGAGAGTCCGACAGAGCCCCCTGTGGAAGCAGATTGAGGCCTGCTCTTCCCGTGAGTGCTTAAAGGAACCAATAAAAAGGGAAATGATGGATTTGCACAGCTGTTAACATGGCCCAAAAATTATCTATTAATTGCAGGAATTCAAAGAGAAGAAGTGATCTTGATAGCTTTGTGTCTAAGATGAGTGCATGCAGAATAGGGAAAATAGATCATGGTTTATTTTAAAATAGAAAGTGAGGAGAGTATAGCTTCTTGCTATGACAGGTGTAAAGATGGCTGTTCTTGGGGGGCTTTATTATAAATACCTCAGTAAGTCATTGAAGACTAAGCTCTTTTAATATCCACATTTACAAACTCCAGCTACTGCACATCCTGTCCTCAGTAGTAATTCATTGAACGAGTTCATGTGTGATATGCCTGATAGTTGTGAAAGACTTGGTTTAAATGGAAAAATAAAAAGAAAAATACCATGAAAGTTATCGCAACCCATACTGTACTTGGAATGAAATGAAGGGAATTACATTCATCATCATTCTCTTTGTGAACATTTCTGTGTACATTTAGAATTATTATGTGGGCCCAAGTAACTTAAATTGACCATTGTGTATTGTGGCGTGTGTGTGTGTGTGTGTGTGTGCATGTGTGTGTCATAGGGAACTGAATCCAGCAGGCATTTGACTGTGTCGCAAATAATCGATTCTGTTGTTGTCATGTTAAAACAGCTACGGACAATAAGTAAATAAAAGGTCGGGCATATGTATATGTGTATGTATACAGATACCTTTATTTATATCCATATTTGTATCTATCTATATCTGTGTCAGGGTTTGACCTTACACAATCATGTTCGTAATCTTGTAGAGGTTCCACTTCTATGAATGAACATTTGTAGAAACAGAAACACTAAAAGGAGGGAATCCTGACATTTTTACACTACTTTTGTCAACCTCAGTTATGCTTTCTAAGGCTTTCTTGAGAATCAACTTCAGGGACTTTCCCTGCTGCCACTGATGCTGATTCTGCTTAAAGGAGCCAACAAAGAAGTAAATGAAGGGGTTAATGCTGCTGTTGATACCAGACATGAACACAGCGATGAGAGCATAATAAAAATAGTCTCTGGTATTTGTAAACCAGGATAACAGAGACACAAGGATGCCTGCAGGGAGGCCACAGAGGAGGAAGACCAGCACTGTGAGCCCGATGGTCACATACAGCCTGGTTAGTTGCAACCTCGTGGAGCCACAGAGCATCCTGACCAGCAAGGCCAGGCTGGATCCACACAGAACCACAAATAAAAAGAGCAGCCAGGCAGCAGTGATGAAAGACATTGTAGGACATGGATAACAGGAAAACCTAAGTGATAAGTAACAGTATACATATGCCAGGATGCTCAGTAGCAAGGACAAGGCCCAGAGCAGGGCACATATGACAGCTGACATGTGTCTTGGGCGGTGGAGTCTATGCCAGATGGGCCACAGGACAGACAGGCAGCGCTCAGCACTAATTGCACTGAGCATGCTCAGGCCAGTGATGTAGGAGCACATAATCACAGGGAATAAGAACTTGTAAATAGCGAGAGAGGTGAAATTGAAGGCATAGATAAGGTCGTTTACACAACCTGTAATGTGGCAGCCCAGGAAGAGGAAGTCAGCTCCTGCCAGGTTGAGGATGTAGACGGAGACCACATTCCTGTGCATGCAGAAGCCCAGGAGCCAGAGCACAACTGCATTACCTACCAGCCCAACCAGAGAAAAGATAATATTCAGCCAAGTCAGGATCAGCATTGTCATGTCAAAGGGAAAATCCAGAACACTCCCATCCATCGATATGATTTCCTGTTGAATGGTTGAATTCATGTTCAGAGAGTCTCCATTGCAGACCCTAGGAATACAAACCAAAATTGAGCACCTGCTGTATGCTCTTTTATTCTTGAGGCCCCTAGTATATGAGAATTGCTATCTTTGTGTTACAGGGGAAGAAGCAAAGTCTGGCAGAGATTAAGTAATTAGTGGATGGGAGTCCTGGAACCAAGATGCAAGTCAGTTCTGGGGATTCTGAATACTAGGCTCTCTCTACTCCAATATAGATCTTCTAGGAGAGGCAAACATTCTGTTTTTTTTTTCTTAAATTCTTTTATTGGTACATTGTAGGTATACAACACAATTACATTTCTCATTGGGAACTTGTACCTTTACATGATGCATCTTGGTTCTTATTTTTTCCCCATTACCTGCCCTCCCTTCACCCCCTCCACCCTTCCCTATTTACAAAGACTTCATTTCCATTTTTTAGCTTTTCTCAGAATTTTTCCTTTCCCTTCTTTCCTTTCTCCTGCCCCTCCCACTACCCCTACCCATTTGGACCTTTTCTTCCTATTTTGCATTATCGATTATTCATTCTAATCATAGGTACATTTTAGGTATACAATATAATGGCATTCAGCATTGGAAATTTGCACCTTTACATAATCTCTCTTGGTTCTTATTTTTCACCCTTGCCCAGCCCTCCCTTCAACTCCTCCATTCCCCCGTATTTACAAAGATTTTGTTCCTATTTTTCCATTTTCTCATATTAATTCCATTCCCTTCTTTCCTTTCCCCTACCCCTCCCACTTCCTTCTTCTTTGCCCCTTTTCTTCCTATTTCTCATTACCTATTATACATTTTAGTCCTTATTTACACTTTCAGTTTCTCACACCAGAGAAACTATTCGGTATTTATACATGTGTGTGTCCTAAGAGAGGCAAACATTCTATAGTCTAATTGTACACAATGACCCAACCAATTCCTGCCAGTGGTTAGGGCATGTCCCAGAATTTCTTTCTAAGGAAGAGAATAGTCAAGGACAGGATATAAGAGACAAAGAAAGGACAGTGAACCCAGTTATTATTCTGTCCTGGGCCAGAAACTATCAATAAATGAAGCATTGTAAAAACGCAAAGACGGACCAGACCATGCTCATGACCAGAGCTGTCTATCCATGTGGGAGAGGTCATAGATATCTGAAAGGAATGTAGCTCTTAATAGTACAGTTGTGATGATGGCTGGTCATGGTAGGCTTGAAATGGCTCAGTGTATCTGCCATTAAAGATGGAGGACTTCCGTTTCCCTAGAGTGTAATGTGGTTTGTGACATATTGTGTTCCCAATAATAAATTTATGAAGGGAGAGGATAATGGTAGTAGACTGTGAGAGACTGCAATATTTATTATGCCCCAAAGCAGGCTGTAAGCAGTGCAGGGTGTAAAGTGTTAGTCCCGTAATTATCTTGTTTTGAGTAGCGAGTCTGGCCGAAGACTACGTGTCGAGGTCAGAGTAACTCACACCTAAATTTCATTTCCACAATTAAAATCTTCTTACTAAAAGGACAGTGTTCTAATTATAGCCATGTACTTTGTCTATTCTGTTCCTAATTTGAGAGTACTTTATCTTGTCCTTTATGAGTCTTGCTTATATTAATTTCCACAGAAACCCTACGATTGCACATCCTCTCTTGTATTCCTGCCCTTTCATGTAACTCACCTTTACCCCAATTGATTGCTAATAAAAATCAGTGGCTTTGGTTGGCCAGCACCTTTGTTGGTTGCAGCAGCATGGTTGTTCTGGCACCCCACTTTCTCTCCTAGTTCTGTCTTTTAGTTTGATTTCACAGGCCTGCATCATATACTGGGCAGGAAATTGGAACCTAACTGCAGGGGTCTCCGGTAGCAGATAATTTGTATCAAATGGAAAAACAAAAAATAGAAACCTAATTAAAAGTATTAGAATGCTCAGTTAAAATACGATGATGAAAATTTCATTTATCATAGTTATTCTTGAGGAGAATATTGTGTTTAAAAGAATTACTTAGGTTTGGTCCTTTCAGTCAGTGTCCCCACAAACATCGGCATTGTTATCTGGACCTCTGGAGCTCTCCAATCCATCGAGGTGAGTTCTGTGTGACCAGCGGCAGTGGTTGCACTCATGTTCAGAAGCTCTTCTGTGGTGTCCCTAGGCACACAAACAAATGGTTGACCACTGATGCGCATTCTTAAGTGAGTTTATAAGGTGGCTTTGTTGAGGACATAAGCATTTTAATGTACAGTTGGGGTAGGATTGGAGTTCAAACTGAAATGCCGAGTAATATATAGGATAAAAGTAACTGAGGTTGGGCTTGGACTGTCAATGAAAAGAAGTATTTGAAGTATAAAAGTATTCAAAGGAAGACTACTAAGTGTTGTGCTGTGAGGTGTGCAATGTAAATTGACTCCATATTATATCCCTGGAGATTTTAATTCTGGTTTGTACATAAACACTTTTGTGTGAGTGGAATCTTTGAAAGGAAATAGAAATGCAGGGCAGGAAATGTAAAAGAAAATGCTCATGTGGATTTTATCTGAAACAAGAGGACCACTTTATATCTGAGTGACTATTAACAAGTGATTGAGAGACATATTGTCTTTTTGAAGCCTCTGAAATACCTATAGAATGACAGTATTATTTCAATTTTACTGAAGATAGAATTGGAGAATGAATGATTTGTCCTGGTCTCACACTGTGAACGGAACCCAGTAGTGCTGCTCAGGATCCATCTATTTGACCAACAGACTCAGCACCAGAGAGCCGTTAATTACAAACACATGAGGGCAAAAGCAGAGCAATAATTTCCAAGTTAAATCCAAGTTGACCCTCAAAATTATGGATTACATAAAATCTAGAATTAATAGACACTGGAGAGAAAGGGAAGACAATGAAATGTGAATGGGGAGAGTCGTATGTGAAAGTAAAATAGGAATAGATATACAAATCCAGAAACTCCCTCCTTCCTAATGGAGGTAGTCATGGTATTGGAATCCTGCTGATCCACTTAGAAGAAAAGTCTCTCCAGGTGGAAAGAGGATGAATCCTCCCCCTGTGCTGCAGAGACATCAGAAGTGAGTGCATCTATGATTCTCTCTCTTACAGAGCCAAGATTCCATAGCCTTCACTGAACCAAAGAAAATATGTTTGGACAACTAGACATTCTATTCCCACCCAGGACAGTGTATTTTGCATACATGTTTTTAGAGCCCCTGGAAAATACTACCAGGACCCTGGAGGACATAAGGAGAGGATTTTAGATCAATCTCCCTATTTCCTATGATCTGTCATTTATTTTGCTCTATTTGCTCTGTGCCTTTGTGGTTGTGAGTTGGACAAAGGAGTGCTTTCTTGCCTGCCTGATCACCCTCTCCGACTGATAAACTGGGGCTATGGTTCTGGTCTCCTTCCAGAAACTACTTCATCCCTTGTTTTTATAATCATAGGGTTGTATATCCTGCTTCACGGTTGCTTGCATTGATACCATAGATTATCAATTTCCCTTAATCCTGTCTTTCTTTGCAAATAGTCAACTAGAGAAATACTTCTAATTATTTCAGTTTGGGATAACCTTTTCCTTTGGGCACCTTCACAAGTATATGAAGGAGAATAACTTTGAAGGCAAAAAAACTAATGAAAATTAGGGTTCAGAATCCTCAGCTCTTGAGTTAAATCCCTGGAGGTAACCTTGCTCTTTACATAAGGAAAAAGTAGGATTACTCCTATGACTGCAGATTTGAATGGTTGAAATAATGGGGAGGAGGAGGGAGATGGATCAAAATGGAGAATCATCTGGAGAACGCCATTATGAACACCCACATGTGATGGATGCTCCCAGCATCCACTTTTCAGATGAAAGCCTCATGTCTTCTCCCTTTCTCTGAAGGGAGCTCCATGATGCCCTGTCTACCACATCAAGTGGAAACAGAGGATTATAAACCTAGAAAAAATATTTACAAGCTTTGAAAATATGCTGTTGTATGCACTTACATTTCTTGCAGTCTTCTATCTGGAGTTAGAAAGCTGATCTGTGCTGAAGAAGGAAAGTCTTTCTGGACTGACTGACACCAGAGGACTCTTCTCTGTCCTCTAATTCAGGAGCTGCCTGAGGGACCTGGAATACAACCTGGAGAACAAGTTGCCTTTATCACGAAGCTATATAGCTCATGTGATTTCCTACACAGGGACTGTGGGCAAATCAATAACAGAGGATTTTGATACACACACTCTTACAGAAGTATTTCTGGGCATCTGTCCAATTTCCACTCACAAATCAACTTCTCTCATTATATCTTATGTGGTTTATGTTCCTTTAAGTAATTGCTATCCTGAAGCCTTTAATTGCCAACTCTGAGCCTAGGCATCAGCAATGTCCAGCAGAGTGAAATGGCTAATGAAGCTTTATAAATAAAGAATGAGCTATGTTCCAGGGTCACTTAAGTCTTGCTATGTCATAATTTTTTCTTCATGTTTTCTTTATCTAGCAGTAATTCATTCATGTAAATGCTTTAAGTCTAAATGACAGCTAGGCAAAAATCTCCCCCCAATCCCATTCTGCACAAGCCACCTCTTCCTATACTTTCCATTTTTATTTATTATTATTATCTCTCAATAATAAATTTATATTTCTGTTTCTGTTCGCCATATTAACAGGTGGATCAAATGGCTTCCATTACAGATTGTAAACAGTTTAGATGACTTAAGATATCTTTACTGCTCCCTTCCTTTTATCTTTGGAGAATTAGTACAGTTATATGATACATCTTAATTTTTGTCACCCTTTTCCCTCCCCTCCTTTACCCTTCCCTCCAACTCTTGATCCTTATCCCATCTGCAAAAGATTGATCTCCTTATTTCCTAGTATCTGCCTTTTATTTTACTCTTTATTTATATTTTGGGTTTCTCAAATAGGAGAATAGTATTTCATTGTGTACAAATACCACATTTTCTTTATCTATTTATTTGTTGATGGATATATAGGATCCT